TGAAAACCTTTAAAGAGAGGCTTAATTTACCTGTAAAAAATGACTTTGGTTATTTAAACAAATCTTCTGCTAATGAAAATAATGAGAAATGAAAGCAGCTGCAGTCGTGGTGACTCAAAGCTTCTACATCGACCCGTAGCTTTAAGGTTAAAATCTCTTCTTTACACTTCAGGTCCTTCGTGCACTCGTCATTTAAAACATTCACGTAACTAAAAACTCTACTGCTCAAGGCCACTCGGTTTAAATTAAAATCTGGGGGAACACAAAACCAAAAATCGCTGTTTCTGTGCACGTACTCGCAAATGACAGGGAAAGACAAGCCCACGAAGGCACTCGACAGGTACTCAGTGTACATCTCATTAGCCACTCCCTCCAGGTAATACTTCTGCCACGTGTCCTCCTCAATCTGTGACAAAGATTAGAAGAAACAGACAGAAGCTTGTGTCGTTACAAAAATACTGGAAGCAAAACTTCATTCATCTCCGCCCACTCACCGGATGCTGGATGCCTCATCTGGGACAATCATTATTTTCTACTCTGCCTGTTCTAATGTAAACGAAAATGTAAACACTTGATTGATGCGGCTACCTTGATGAAGGACCTCATGGAGAACAGGTTGGCCAGCATGGTGGAGAGCCCCTGAGCCAGGCAGCTCTGGGCGATGAAGCCCAGTTTCAGCTCTGCGAGGCAAATGGCGTCATCGCCCTCCTTCCAGGTCCAGCTGGGGATGTTCAACAGGTGGGCCTGAGAGGGGGAGAGAGTACAACATGACGTCATGTGGTTGTTTGACAGAACTGAAACTGGAAACACGTATGAAGCTTATTTCTAACAAGGTTCTAAGATGATAAAAACCAAGATTGAAATCTAACAAACCCAAACATAAAAATCCATCTCAAAATACTGAATGCACGAAACTAAACTTCAGCAGATTAAACCCGAAATGACTGAATATACAAACCTTATTGTGGTACTGCAACATCTGAGTGATTATTCTGATCTTTGGATGGTAGTTCTTGATGGAAATAACCCTGAAAGAGACACAACAAACTCAGAACAAGTTTTCCAACGTCAAGTTCTTCTTTTTCTCTTCTTTCCAATCGTGAAGTTGAAGCAGCAGTTCAGCTGTTAAATCATTAAAAACTGTTTGTTAGAACAGATTCGTGTTGTTTCTCTCAGCATTTGAGGCGCAGTTAATAATTCACCATTTTCAAAGATTCCTGTCACAAGATGAGGCGGTGGAGTTTGAGGCACATGTTCAGCAACGTTACTCTGACAGTCTGTGGCACATTACAAGTGAAGGTAAAAGTAATCCTCACAAAGATCCTCGCCGTGACCCTTCGGAGGTTCCGTAGAACCTCAGTTTCCTCATCTGTGACTGTGCAAGCAGGGAGATCTGCCAATTTCACACCCTCTGCTTGGAAAATCTTTTTCTTTTTACAAAACGTTTGAACAGATTTGGCCTCGGGGGTGAAAAGCAAACAAAACAAAACAAGAGATAGACAAGACATAAATGTTGAACGAGCTCCTGTGGTTTTACCTCATGATGTTGGACGCATCCTCAGCATCGGGGTCAGCGCAGTATTTGTTGGCTAAGATCAAACAGGCGTCAGCGGATTCGATCTAAAAACAAAATCACACAGTGAAAACATACTGAGTACGACAAATCAATACAAACAACAGTGTTGTTCCTCCTCAGCTGCGTTACCTTGACTCTGGCCAAGTCGTGTGGGTTTAGGACTGACCCTTGGTAAAACTCCACCTGGGTGAAGTGACGCTTGAACAAGGCTTCCAGCTCAAGATTAGGGGAAATACTGAGAGAGAAAGAGAGAAAGTCTTAACTCTGAGGAGAAGTACTGTTTCCAGTCTGCTTAATATTTGATGTTTGCTGTTTTCTACTCACTTATGGAGAAAAACTATTTCTACATTGACATCATCCCTGTCCTTGTGTAGGAAGTCTTTTAGAAAGTTGGACACACTCTCGAGTGTGATATGACCACAGACCACGATGTGCCTGGAAAACGAGGTGCAGAGCGACAATGAAGCTAAAGCTGGAAAAGGAGGATCGGCGACAAACACACACGAACAAGCATAAAACGCTTTTTCCTCTTTGTCCTGGAATTTAAAAAAAAAAAAAAGGTAAATCTGACAGAAGAGGGATGTGATCGGGATGAAAAATAATCTGCTCTGTTGTGTTCAGGTGATTGATTTGAAAATCTGCGAGGGAGAAATGATTAAATCTGTGGAACAGGAAGAGGATGTTTCGTGTTCCTGCCGTGACGAGCGGCGGCTGAGTGAGGGGGTCAGAGAGCAGCGTGGATTTCAGTGTCAGATTATAAAGGATCAGAGTTTACTTAGATGGAGATTATGAAAGCAGCACACAGTGTTTCTTCATTCCTACGTATCACAGATCCTTTAGGAACACACTGTAGATTCATTTAGTTTTATTATCATTATTATATCTTTATTTTTTTACAACTGTTTATAAGTGGACTTCAGGCGTTTACTCAGCTACACGTTTGGTGTGGGAGAAATGCTTCGCAGCCGGAGGTCTCACTGTGTCTTCATGGCTTTAATCTACAATAAATGCATCAGAATCATTTTTTATTGTTGTTTCTCTAATTTGCAAAGAAAATCACATTTATTGACAGTTTCTCCAGTAATGACAACAATTAAAGACATCAGGAAGAAGAGAGAGGAAATAGAAAAATGAAGCTAACAATTCGGTCTAGTTGTAAAAATGTAGAAAAGAAATGTGCTTTGATATTTAAATAGTGCATCTTCAGCGCGTGTACATTTCTCTAAAGTCACTCTGGTGAAAATAAGACGGACCAGAATGACTTTAAAAGCTGAAATGTTTAGTTTTAAACAAAAGAAGCAGATTTGACAATGTTTCTTATAACATTATAACTCTGCTTACGTCTGATCAACAATCACAAGTGACTAAATCATGCTGCAACGAGCCGTCTTTTGTTTGGAGGCATCTGTTTAGAAACAGCTTCAGAGCTCGGGACATGAGGTCACATGTCGGGGACACGTCAAAGGAATAGTTTGACATTTTGGGAATTACAATTATTTGCTTTCTTGCTGAGAAGATCAACGTCACTCTTGTGTCTGTACTTAAAGCACGGAGCTGGAGCCAAGAGGTAGTTAACGTCGCTCAGCAGGGGGCGCTATGTTCACAAATAAACCTATATCTTAGTTTTTTTGTGATGCAAAAATATGGAGAAAACATAAAATATAAAAAATGTTTAAGGTGTACTATTGGGACCTTTGTTACACACCCTGCTGAGCTCACTGGCCCCTGGCTCTAGCTTTGTACTTGAGAGTGAGAAAGTGAATACGTGTATTTCTTAAAGTGTCAAACTATTCCTTTAAAATGGATTTTGTATTAATTCCTAAGGGTGTAGGTCAGACTGAAGACAAAGGCCAGGAATGTTCAGAAGCAAAGCGTGAAAATAACAAAAAAAAGTTTTTCCAGCAAAGAAAAACTGAATATTTAAAAAAAA